AGGTGGAGGGGTGATGGGGTTTGAAGGGGTAATAGGGGTGGTTGTTGTCTGATTTTCTTTTTTTCTTTCTTTTTTCTTATTTTCTTTCTTTTTTCTTTGGGCATTGATCTTTCCCTTTTTGCCCGTTATTCGTTGTTTAGTGTTGCTCTGCTTCCTTTTTTACGTGATTGTTGGTGAATAAGGTCTTTTGTGGGTTTGTTAGGCTTTTAAGGCTGTGAAGGCAGTTTTTTTTGGGTAACTGCGCATCAGAGAGTAATCAGGGCAGAGGCCTGTCAGGGCTGGAGCTGTCCCTAGTCTGAACCTCCACTGCTGCAGATTAAGCTAAACTGGTTGATGCTGCCAGTATCCCTTTTGTTTGTTCTTTCCGGGTAGAATTGTTGGGTTCTCGGCCCAGATTGGTTATATAATAAAAAACGTTTTTTTTTTTTTTTTTTTTTATAAATATATATATATTCAGCCTCCTGATGAGTCGGTGAAACTCCGACGAAACAGTTTGTCACAGCCCCTCGTTTGTTGTCCTCTTCTCCCTCTCTGCCTATGGTTTACCGGGCAGTGTTGTCCTCTTCTCCCTCTCTGCCTACGGTTTACCGGGCAGTTCTATTTGACAATATATATATATATATATATATATATATATATATATATATATATATATATATATATATATATATCGTCAAATAGAACTGCCCGGTAAACCGTAGGCAGAGAGAGAGAAGATATATATATATATATATATATATATATATATATATATATATATATATATATATATATATATATATATATATTGGGCCTCGATCCACTATTCTCGAAATGTGCAAAATCAGAGTGAATCTTTCGTTAGAACATGGAAGTATGCACCGCCATGATTTTTGTCTTTTGTGCATGTCGAGAGTAGTGGAGCGAGGCCCATTGGCGCCGTGTCAATTGAAAATATGGATTTGAGGTGAATGGGTTACTTCGTGGGCCGGTCAGACGCGCGTGGGCCCTTTTTTGTTTGTTTTTCGAAGTCCGAGTGTTGTCTTTTGCCTGACCGTGACTTTTGTTGGGAGGTGCGTCGGCCCTGACAAGGCGCTTTCTTTCCATATCCGTGCCTTGTGTGTTTCCACATCTTATCTGCCCGCTTCCGCTGCTCTTGCGCCCTTACCTCGTCCCGCCCTGTCCTCCTTCGGGTTCCTGTTCGGTTCTTGTTCCCTGTTTTGGCTGAACAGTATGTCGGCCACAATCCCCGGATGCAGACAGTTCATGAGGCGAACGGCAACACAACAGTTTGCATGAACCCGGATGCACTACTACACATGATTCATTACGGAAGTGTTGTATAGCCACACTTGGATATGAACGCTCGAGCAACCGGTAGGTGCGACCGGGCAAAGCCAAACCACTACTGCAAACGGCTGGTAGCATAGGCGCTATGCATGGCCATGAACTGCGGGCATCGCCACAACGCTCTCGAAGTGTGCAATACAGAGAATGAACTTCCCCCCCAGAACATGGCCAGATGCACCAGCCACTTTCTGCATTTCCGTACCGGTGAGGGCTGGAGGCTGGTAGCATCGGGAGATGCATGGACTGCGGGCATCGCCTCAACACTCTCGAAGTGTGCAATATAGAGAATGAACTTCCCCCTATAACATAGGCACGATGCTTGGCCATGGACTGCAGGCATCGCCACAGCACCGGGATTCACACAACCCGCAAGTACCCACGTTTGAAGTTATGCCCGTTCGCAAAAAGTGAGAGCCGAAAAAAAAAAAAAAAAAAACCAGAAAACCAGGTAAGGGAAAAAGGGTGGGCGCAGTGTGACTGGCGACTTCCCAAGATCCACACTGCGATCCCGAACGCGACCGTGAAATGGTAGTTTTGGGGACACAGTGTGACTCGCGCGACCACTATATCCCCAAATCAGTCCTCCGTATTTTTTAAGAATTTGCGGATTTGGTACCGCAGTGTGAGCCTGCCCTAACACTAGGGAATACTAGATCTGCGTTGGACTTCAAGCCGTGGCTTACGAAAGCCCAACTACGGGAACAGCGAAGGAGAGAAGAAGATTTGACATTCTGGGTGATCGCCGTTCAAGTGCCACTCAACGCGATGCTCTACTTGGAAGCGCAGATACAAAGGGCAATTGGAACAGTAGTTAAAGCCTACCCGCCTGAACCAGACCGATTGAAGCCATCGTTGATCAATCTAAAATTTGACATGGACCCAGAAGCAAGATCAAATATGAAGAACAAAATATCGGTGGTTACATTCGAGGGCGATACGCTAACGGTGAACTTAGCATCGTCAGAGACTCCGAGGTGCAGAAGGTGTAAAGCCTTCTTCCATTCAGATGAGGAGTGCCGAAAAAATCAAGGACAGCAACAGAAAGGAGGAAGCGAGTTACACCCACAAGGAAGCCAACGCGGCACGTCAGCCAGACGACCGGAGTACCAGGGACCACTTGGACCGCTAGGACCAAACCGAAGCGGGATCGGAGGCGACCAAGAAACAACAACGCGACTACAGCCAAGCGAGATGGCCTCAAGCCATAATAATCCAATTTACTCACCGAATGTCCATCCACATTTCGTAGCAGCAGCATATGACCAATGGGGGATGTCGATGGGGCCGATGGGTAATGCGTCAGCCTTTGTCTTGTGGGGAACACGAGGAGTGGTTGGAAGGGCTCGTGTACCCTGGGGGCAAGGCCCCATTCAAGGGATGATGGGCGGGATACCCGGAATGTCAGGAGGAGGAGGGATGGGAGGAGTATCCCATCAGCAACAGCAGGAAGAACCAGTAACACCAAGACCAGGGATTGGGGTGCACGCGGCATAAGAAGGAATGGGAAGAAATGGAGGGAGGGGCACGGAAGACAGACGGGCAGACCTACAAGGATTACAAGGAGGGAGAGCGGCGACGGGTGGCATGGACAGGAGGAACATACATTTAGACGGGTTGATGGCCTCAGAGCCAGGAGAGATAGGAGGAGGGAAGCCTCATGGAAGAAGGAATGGGAACATCACACCAGGGAAGCAGCGGAGATTGAGTAGGGAAGGAAGCGCAGTCTCGTCAACAGGCTTAAGAGAGGAACATTCGGGACCATCACGATCATCCCAAGCCAGGGAAGAAATAATGGGCACGCCAGGCTCCAAAACGACTCGTAGGAGGGCTCCAGTGGCACTGGTGAAGGGACAATAGGAGAGCATAGAAGCGAAAATTCTGCCGATTTTCTGTACAGTGGTAAGAAACGACATACATTTCATAGGGTGGAGTGCACCATACATGGCCGCGAACCTGCTGTCAATCTCGTCACCGGAAACTCCTATGCCAACAGCAATTGGCACGCTACTACGGACAACGATCCAAGATAAATTTCAATTCCTCATGATCCCAGAGATCTTGATGGTGCGCCCGTTTGTGGATAATCCAGAGACTGGAAAGAAAATTAAACTTTTCATTCCAATCTTGGACATTCGATTTGTCATCGGCCAATTGAAGCTCTTGGAGATGGAAGGACTAAGGCTACTGCCACTTACATGGATTGCCGACAAGAAGAGGCAGGATCTGCGCAGGGTTGGTGTGCCACCGCTGCAGTCAGCAGAGTTTCTTGTAGAGCTGGAAGCCAAGCTTCCAAAGGAAAAGAAGCTTTTGTCCCCATTTCTGCGCACCTACCTGACAGCAAGCTGGCTGGAAGGAACCAGCACCTCACACAAGCAATCCCCCTCATCCAACAGACAGAGGAGAGGGAGGTAGATGGGTAGCCTCAAGATTGCATCATGGAATATGAGGGGTTTGGGGGACTCAGGGGGGGGATTCACGAAAGAGAAATTGAAAAGGTAGCTACATGTGAACAGAGTGCAGGTGGCATGCCTACAAGAGATAAAGTTAGGGGAAGAGAAGCTAAAGGCGCTGGGAGGCTGGTGGGATGGACCGCAACTGTGGTCACCAGCGCAAGGCACGAGAGCAGGGGTAGGGATTGTAATCCAAAGAAACCTGGGAGCGGAAATTATTGACTTCTATGCCGATCTTTGGGGAAGATGGGCGTGGGTGAAGATTCAGGTGGAAGGGGAGGAATGGCTAGTGGCAACGGTCTATGCACCAACGGACCAAAGAGAAAGACGGATCTTTGTGGAAGAATTATGGTACATCATCCCTCAGTGCGAGAGAACGATAGTGGTGGGCGACTGGAACCTTACACTAGATGACCCAGAAGGCGGTCAGCAGGCGTCACCGAAGAAAGACGCATTGTTGGAACTAATGTCAGGACTAGAATTGGTGGACCCGTAGAGACTGAATAACCCGGATAGACAAGGGAACACGTGGTTTTCGAATCCCCCCCCGGAAGTAGGAGTGATCAGCAGAAGGCTGGATTACTTCCTGGTTTCATAGGGGATTTGGAAAAGGGTAAACTCGGTCAGAGTAGACACTCTTTCGATGACGGACCACAAGCCCATCATTATGAGTTTGACAACAAGGGAAATAGTAAGGGGTAAGGGTTACTTCAGGTTCAATCTGCAGAACCTGGAGGACCCAAGACTGAGGGATTGGATGAGACGCTTCTTGACTGACTGGGAAGAGGCAAAGTCACTCTATAACTCGCTGGTGGGGTGGTGGGACTCAGGGATAACGATTTTCTCGAACTTGTTGAGTGTGTTCTCGCGGATCTTAGCACACCAGAGAAGGCAGCAAGAGGAGAATGTGAAGAAAAAGATAGAGTACGCAGAAGGCAGGATGGAGGAACACCCGATATCCTTGTTAGTATGGGGCAAAGAAAGAGCTAGACGGATGAAGGATTGGGATGACTTACAAGTGGAGAAATCGGAAGTATGGGCATAAAGGTTGAAGGTGAAAGGGGTGGTTGTATATGACCGGATGACGAGAGAATCTTTCCAAAAGCTGCAACCCAGCAGAATGGCAGCACCAATGAGAGGACTCCAACATCCTTTTGACAGGAGGATGGCTGCAGCAAAGGAACTGACGGAGATGTGTAACTACGCGGCGCTCTGCTTCAGGGACATTCTCACGTTACGTGCACAGGGCGCTGCAGTGACAGAGGACCTATACGAAGGAAACAGCCACTGGACAAGCTCCTCCATAAAAATTTCGAGATAAGGGAAGTTGGATCTGGACAGACCGGTGACAGAAGAAGAGGCCTTGCAAGCACTGAAGGTGATGGCCAGGGGAAAGCGTCAGGCTGTGATGGCATGCCAACGAAACTGTACTTGGAGCTGTGGCCAGGTATAGGAGCCCACTTGGTGGAAATTTACAACCAGGTGTTGGAAGGGAAGAGACGATCTGTCAGCATGTGCAAAGGGGTAATCTCCGTGCTTTTCAAGAAAGGGGATAGGACGAAAATTCGAAATTCGAGACCAGTGTCTCTTCTGAACATCTCCTATAAGATCCTGGCGAAGATCCTGGCAAGGAGGCTGGGCCGGTATCTGCCGGAGTTGGTGAAGGTAGATCAGGCCGCCTTCGTAAGAGGGCGGTCGATCTTCGACAACATAGTTACTGCCATCGAAACGCTGGAAACAGTTCAGAGGGAGGATTTGAATATAATGGTGCTACTGCTTGATCTGGAGAAAACGTACGACAGAGTTAACTGGTTGTACGTCCTCACAACACTCAAGTGGATGGACTTCGGGCGGAACTTTGTCACATGGGTCAAGACGCTGTACATTTACTCTACTGCTGCAGTAATGATCAACGGGAAACAATCAGAGGAGTTTCCACTTACACGGTTGCTGAGATAGGGCTGTTCGCTGACCCCTCTACTGTTTACGGTCCAGTTCGAGGTGGTCCTGAACAACATAAGGGAACACCCGCAGATAAGAGGAATGCCAGTGGGAGCTTCCTCGTACAAGGTGAAGGCGCTGGCAGACGACCTTTTCGCAGTAGCGGAGAACGCATAGGAATCGATGAAGGCATTAAAGAGCTGTTTGGATGAGTACTCCGATAAGTCGGAAGCGGCTATTAACTGGCACAAGTCTGTGTATCTGCTTCCGGAACACTTTGAACCAGCGGTGGAGTGGGGGATGAGAAGAATAGAGAAGGACGATTCCGAAAGATTCCTGGGGGTTCAAATATCGTTGTTGGACTGCGCAGCAATCCAGGACGACCTGCTGTTGCAGAGATCTCTTCAACGTCTGACCACGTGGGGCAGGGCTCCCCACTTGTCCCTGTTCGGCAGGGCGATGGTGGTGAATGGTGCTCTTTTTGCATTACTGTGGTTTGTGGGAGCAGTGAGAAGAATAAAAGACTGTACGTACAAACTCGTAAGAAGACGAGCGGCGAGGTTTATTTGGAAACCATTCACGGGCGACCAAGAGGGCTTCATCTCTAAGGTAGCATGGGAGATGCTGTGCCTACCGCGGGAAGAAGGCGGATTAGGAATGACCGACCCAAACAAGCAAAATGAGGCAATGTTGATCAAACGGGTGATCAGAGCAAGCCTGGAGGAACCTGCGCAACATTGGGTACAGTTGGCAGAAGCTACTCTCGCAACGGAATGGAACCTGTCAAGGCCAGAGGACATGTGGACATGCCTGATCCTGCACTCATACCAGAATAGGAAGGTAAAGTCGCCATTGTGGGCAGCCATTATTCAGGCATGGAGGAAACTTCGACCGGACGTATGGACAACCCCGACAACGAAGGTAGAAGTTATGTCTCAACCAATCTTCGAGAACCCACGTATAATCACGAAGAATGAAAGCTGGTTCAAAGCAGATTAACAAGCTCAGAGCTTTGGCAGAATGTGAATTGAACGAGGATTCCTGCGAGTGAGAGACCTCTGGGACAGATTCGCAGAAGATTGGAAATCGAAGAAGGAACTAAGAGAAAAGTTGGGTCAGGTGAGAGATGTTGAAAGGAAGAAAAAAGCAGTAATTAAAGCTATACCGGAAGAGTGGAAAGCTATGTTGGCCCCGAAAATAGTTGATCCAGCGGGCACATGGTACGTGCAAAACGAGGAAGGGGAGACCAGCCTCTGGGAACTGAAATTGACACAGGCTGACGAAAAAATAGTGTTTCAGAGGTGGGAGTTTTCGGCTTCAGGAGTGTTGAGCTCAACAGAAGAAGAAACACAGCCTAGGCTAGGCAACACACTGTCCTAGGTACGGGTGGTACCTTTGGTACAGAAAGAGAGACAGAAAGAAATGAAACTCATAGCCCACGGGAAACCGGTCTCTAAGCTGAAACTAGACCCGAAAACATGGGAATGGAGGGCTATGGGGAGACAAGGAGAGAATGTATGCCTGTCCAATTATACTCAGAGAATTGGCTACAAATTTTGTATTCCTTCGAAACATCCAGAGGTGGTTGCAAAAACGAGATGGGGACAGTTGTTACAGATAGACCCGAAGCGGATTGAAAAGGATCTTCGAAGCTGCTGGGAGCAGCTGAAGCTGATTCCCTGTCAAAGGCAAGCAACGGTACTGTGGTTGGTTTCTCTGGCAGCGACATCGTCCGCAGTTTGGCTGGTACAACATGGAATGGATCTGGACCTGAAGTGTGTGAGGTGCGAATGGGCCTTTGAGTCTATAGTCCACCTCTGGTAGGACTGCCCGGCGTCGAGCAAAATTTGGGAATGGTGGAAAAATTTATGGGAAAGTTGCACAGGAGGAGCCTTCCCATGGACCAAAGAATGGTGCCTAGTAGGGGGGGTGCATGACGGCAACAACATATCAAAGGGTTGGGGATATGTCGCACAGGTGACGAGAGCAGTTGGGTTTGCAGCAATTTGGCAGCAAAGGAATGAGAGAGTCTTCAAGGCTACGGAATGGTCGAACAAACAGATCAGAAGGACCTTCACCAAGTTGTTACAGAGGTCGATAATGGCAGACTGGCATAAGAAAGTAGGCAGGACGAGGGATTAGAGGCCAGGTTTGGCTTGGTTTAAAGAGACCTGGGCCAGAGATGGAAGAATAACGAAGGTAGTAAGGAACAAGATCGAGTTAGATCAATGATTCTATATGGTTGTGTGAGCAATAAAGGGAAGGATCCTGGGCTCTCGGTTACGAGGTTCAAGGGTCGTAGGAGACGGGTAGAGGGATCTGTAGGCGGAAGGAGTGTCAGTGGGTGTATCCACCGGGTTAGGTGGTTTAAGAGGTGTCGAGTAGAATAGCAGTTGGTAGCAGGTTTTGCGACGTGTTGGGTTTGTGTGGCTTTTCAGGCTAGGAAGATACGTTTGGTTAAATCAGGCTCAGAGAGGGGATTGCAGGACAAGGTCCTTGGGGACTGTGTTTGTCCTAGTTAAGGACTCCCATCTGAAGCATAGGCTAAGCTGACTGATGCCGTCAGAAGAATTTTGTTTTCCGGGTCGAATTGTGGGGTTCCCCGGCCCCAAATTGGATTTTAAGGAATAAAAGAAGGTTAAAAAAAAAAGAAGAAAAAAAGTCGGAGTCGGGGACCCCACAATTCCGCCCGGAGTTATCCATTAGTACCATTGGCGAATGAGAAAATAGCGGGCCTCCGTTGGGCCACCGACCTTTTTGGAGGCCGAAACGAAATGACGGCCGCCGATCAGATTTATCAATGGCAGCCGTCGTCGGGCCCGACCTCCAAATCTTTAGGAGTTTGGGAAAACAGCCAGTTTTTCCTATTTTCCCACGCGGGAAAGGTACTAGTGGTTTTGGAGTAGGCTAGTCTAGGCACATAAATGACCAAATCTAGGCCGGTGTCTTGAAACCACTTCTAGAAAAATTCGTGAATCAAGCCAAACAAACCAGAGAATAGCTACAACTAGCCTAACCACCGAGATATACCGAAGTCCACAATTCTGAAGGCTAGGTACTAACCTACTATTCTTACCGGTCTAATCTGAGCCCTGTCTAAACCGACAGGCGGACCCGAAGGACCAAAAGTACTCTGCTGGCACGCCCTCCTCTAGCAAACCAACTGCCTTCCTAACGTGGATAAAGAGAACCGAGCACCAAGGTTCCTACCTGTCTACTACCCCATCCAAAACTATTTATCGAACACAAGCTTCCCCTCCTCCAACTTAAACCACCAGTACCTCAACCTGCTATTTTTTTTTGGGGTGGCCGTATACGCGCCGCGACTTCCGGTGGTCGGTGGGCGGGGGACCGGTAAGGGGGGAGGGGGGGG